CTATAGGATGGATGTTATTCTAGAAGTAGAATTTAGAATAGGATACTCACTCTTGTTCCGATTGCTAGAAACCCTGTTTTGTACTCATCATCCAATTTCAATGCATGGCACCTTTTGAAGAATTCTTATTATGTCAATTTATTGTTAGAATGAGTTTACTCTATCTTGGTTTTGATAATAATTGTATACCCTCCATACGAAGAACATTCTTGAGTACCATACAAATATATGGGATCCTATTACCCTTGCTCTGCCATCAAACTTACGAATTCCATTTTGATTAGGATCCAAAGAAATGCCGCCAAGAAGGGAGAACCCCGATATAGTATAACTCGTATCTGACCAACTTATCGCTGCACTACCCAATATAGTCAGCCAAGTGGCTGCTGGACTGAATGCCAACCAGACTTCAAACTCTGAACTTAGACCTCCGCGAGAATGTACTTATAAGACTTTCAGAGCTTGTAACCCAAGGAATTTAATGGAACCAAAGGAGCGGTAGGATTACTATCGTGGCTAGAGAATGTGGAATCCGTTCTACACATTACCAAGTGTACCGAAGGGAATAAGGTCGAGTATGCGGTGTGCCTATTGCAAGGAAGGGCACTAACTTGGTGGAACACTATAGTTCAAACCAGAGGTCGAGAAGCGGCTAACCGACTTTCCTGGGAGGAGTTTAAGAAACTGCTAAAGGACGAATACTGTCCGAGGAGTGAACTCCAAAAATTGGAAATGGAATTGTGGAACCTCGAAATGAAAGGGGAYGATATTTCTGCGTATACAACAAGATTTCATGAGTTGGCAAATCTTGTGCCACATCTAGTGTCATCAGAAGAGGCTCGAATAGRAAGGTACATTTGGGGATTGTCCCCAGAAATTAGGGGAAACATAACCTCTGCCAATCCAAGGACTATCCAAGAGGCGGTAGAAATTGCCACGAAACTCACGAACAATGCTGTACGATCCGGAGGGTTGGCCAAAGGAAAACGAAAGATAGAGGAGTATGGGGACCGAAGAATTGGAAGGAAATCTGACAAAAACAGGAGAATGGCAAGGAATTTTGGAGCCCAATCACAGGTGGTAAGGCAGGGCGATGCGGAAAGATGCAATAAGTGCAAATTTCAACACCGAGGGAATTGTATCATCTGCCAGAGGTGTCGTCTAGGGGGCCACACGGTAAAGGACTGCCGGAAGCGCCTATGCTATGAGTGTGGAAGCCTAGACCATATAAGGAATGATTGCCCAAAACGAAAAACAGGGGCAAATGCAAACCAAAATCGACAGAATAATGCGGGTAATTCAGGAAGTCAGGTTCGAGGCAGAACTTTTGAATTGGGAGCCAGAGAAGCCAGAGGGTATCCCAGCGTGGTTACAGGTACGTTTCCTCTGAATAACGAATTTGGATCGATTTTATTTGACTCTGGGGCAGACAGAAGTTTTGTGTCACTAGACTTTAAGCAGAGAATTAACTTAAA